GCCGAGAGTCCCGTCTCAGTCCGGCTGGAGTCCGTCCTGGTCTCAGTCTCAGTCCTGATCTCAGTCTTCGGTCCTGTTCCCGGTCTCAGTCCTGGTCTGGTCCCAGTCTGGTCCTGGTCTCAGTCTCAGTCTCAGTCCTGATCTCAGTCCTGGTTCTGTTCCCGGTCTCAGTCCTGGTCTGGTCCCAGTCTGGTCCTGGTCTCAGTCTCAGTCTCAGTCCTGATCTCAGTCTTGGTCCTGTTCCCGGTCTCAGTCCTGGTCTGGTCCCAGTCTGGTCCTGGTCTCAGTCTCAGTCTCAGTCCTGATCTCAGTCCTGGTCCTGTTCCCGGTCTCAGTCCTGGTCTCAAGCCTGGTCCTGTTCCTGTTCCTGGTCCTGGTCACGGTCTGGTCCTGGTCCCGGTCTGGTCCCTGTCTCAGTCTCAGTCTCAGTCCTGTTCCTGATCTGGTCCCGGACCTGTTTTAGTCCAGTTTTAGTCCTGGTTGAGTCCGGAATCGCAGTTTAAGTCACAGACACAGAGAACATCCGTTATATTTTTTCCATTTTTCATTTAAACACAAAATCGAAAACTGAAAATGAGAAAGAAGAAGGGAGAGAAGGAGAGAAAGACAGAGGGAGGAAGAGAGAGCGGGAAAACAGAGAGAACAGAGAGGAGAAAGGGAAGATGAGACGGCGGAGAGAGAAGAGAAAGGATGGAAGAGATGAAGAAAGAAGGAAAGAAAGGGAGTGAGGGGGAGAGTAAGAGAGACGGTCGGAGAGAGAGAGAAAGAAAAAAGAAGAAAAGGGGAGGAGTCAGAGAGAAGATGAGAGAAAGAGAAAAGTGAAAGAACGAAGAGAGGAGAAGAGAGAGAAAGTCGGAGAGACAGAGAAGATGAGAGAAAGAGAAAAGTGAAAGAACAGAGAGGAGAAGAAAGAGAAAGTCGGAGAGACAGAGAAGATGAGAGAAAGAGAAAAGTGAAAAAGAACGAAGAGAGGAGAAGAGAGAGAAAGTCGGAGAGACAGAGAGAGATGAGAGAAAGAGAAAAGTGAAAGAACGAAGAGAGGAGAAGAGAGAGAAAGTCGGAGAGACAGAGAGAAGATGAGAGAAAGAGAAAAGTGAAAGAAAGGAAGAGAGGAGAGGAGAGAGAAAGTCAGAGAGACAGAAGATGAGAGAAAGAGAACGAAGAGAGGAGAAGAGAGAGAACTTTGGAGAGACAGAGAGAAGATGAGAGAGGGTGAAGAGTCGGACAGACGATGAGAGAAAGAGAAAAGTGAAAGAACGAAGAGAGAGAAAGAGAGACAGAGACAGAAAGAGAGAGAAGTGGGAGAAACAGAGGGGGAGAAGAGGGAGAGGAAGAGAAAGAGAAGGAAAGAGATGAAGAAAGAGAGAGAGAAAGAAGAGAGAGACAAGAAAGTGAGAAGGAGAGAGGGAAAGAGGGAGAGAGGGAGGAGAGAGGAGCGCCACGTCGTGTTTTGAAGACCCCACTGATCGTCGGAACTTTCCAGAACATGTTTGTCGTTTCTCAGATAATTGATTCCGTCGTTTGCTCCGTTTCTCGCTTTGATGTTGCCATGGAGATAAAAGCCAATCAGGAAAAATTAAACACGCAGCAACAGAAAAAAACCCGCCCTCCCCGAGCCCAGACACACACGTGCGACGCTTTAACTAAAAAACTCAAAACCAAAACAAATAAATGATGTCGCTGTTTGAATCCCGCTCCTCACACTCACTGGTCAAAATTTAAGATATAAACACTTAAATCCATCAGAAAATGACTTAAAATGATCTGTTCAAGCGGCAAAATCATTTTACTTGACAAGTTCTCGCAAAATAAACAAACCTAGACGAGAATGAAGTAGTGTCAGAACTAATGAGTGGATAATAAATGTGAAAATAACATGAAGAACCTGATATAAGTTTGAAAATCTGGGCCACATCAGAGAAATTTACAGTGTAAACATTGTTGCTGTTGTGTCCTTGAGCAAGACACTTCACCAATGTTGACCTCAATGTCTACATATGTTTATGAACGTGTGTGTGTGTGTGTGTGTGTGTGTGTGTGAATGGTTCCTTGATGCCTTATACCATTAAAAAAATATATTTACCAACTATTTCCATTTAAATAATGTTAAATGAATGAAACAACACAGAATTTACTTCGATGAGTTTTAAGTCGTGTTCTAGAGTTGTTTCCTCGTCAAAAACAGACCTGGATTTGTGTTTCTTTCATTCACACCTGTTTGAGTAACTCTTTATTACACATTTCCTCTGTTCCATCTTAGCTGTTTTCAGGTCAGAACGGTGACGTCTACTGTGTCGTCACGGTTCACGTAGAAAAAACTACTTTTCGGTTCCCAAACGCTCAGTGAGATCAAACCGAGTGTGAACACGAGTGTTCAGGGAACTGACACAGTTCTCTTTTGGACTGAAAACACAAATTATGATGTCATGAAGCAGAAGTTTTCAAGTTACTGTATTTGTTTGGACTATAAGACGCACTTAAACTTCATTTTCTCAAAAATCGACGGTGCACCTTATGTATTTATTCTGGTTGTGCTTTCTGACCTCAAACTGATTTTCGCTCATATTCCACTGAGTCGTGTCCTTTAGTCCAACAAAAGCTGAACCGCATCAGTGCACAAGGAAAGAGCTGTTTTTTTCAGAGCTTATAGTTTATATAATAATCGTGGACGCCTGGACTAAGGATCAGTCTCAAGTGGCGTCCATTTGTTTCGCTCAATGAGCCTTATAATCCAATGTGTCATATAGTTCAAAAATACAGTAATAGTTCCTTTTATCTTTTAGTTCTAGTTTCGTCGATGTTATTAGGGTTTTTTTTCAGACCAAGGGTTTGTTTTCATACCTGACAGTTTTGTCTTCCTCAGAGTCACGTGATGTTGCCGTGACGTGTCGCTCGGCTGATTTAAACAGGTTCTGGCGCTGTCCTCCTACCGCTGGGAGCAGGACGACAGCGCCACCTGCAGTCCGACGTCCTCAGGTTGAAACTGTCAGGTGTGAAACACAAACCCAAAGAACCTAATAACATAAATTATCGGAAAACCAAATGAAACTCATCGGACTCTAGTTTCATAGTTTTGTAGAGATTTGATTGAAGTGGTAGTAGTAGTAATTGTAGTAGTAGTAGTAGTTGTAGTAGTGGCAGTAGTAGTAGTAGTAGTAGTAGTAGTAGTAGTAGTAGTAGTAGTAGTAGTAGTAGTAGTAGTAGTAGTAGTAGTAGTAGTAGTAGTAGTAGTAGTAGTAGTAGTAGTAGTAGTAGTAGTAGTAGTAGTAGTAGTAGTAGTAGTAGTAGTAGTAGTAGTAGTAGTAGTAGTGGCAGTAGTAGTAGTAGTAGTAGTAGTAGTAGTAGTAGTAGTAGTAGTAGTAGTAGTAGTAGTAGTAGTAGTAGTAGTAGTAGTAGTAGTAGTAGTAGTAGTAGTAGTAGTAGTAGTAGTAGTAGTAGTAGTAGTAGTAGTAGTAGTAGTAGTAGTAGTAGTAGTAGTAGTGGCAGTAGTAGTAGTAGTAGTAGTAGTAGTAGTAGTAGTAGTAGTAGTAGTAGTAGTAGTAGTAGTAGTAGTAGTAGTAGTAGTAGTAGTAGTAGTAGTAGTAGTAGTAGTAGTAGTAGTAGTAGTAGTAGTAGTAGTAGTAGTAGTAGTAGTAGTAGTAGTAGTAGTAGTAGTAGTAGTAGTAGTAGTAGTAGTAGTAGTAGTAGTAGTAGTAGTAGTAGTAGTAGTAGTAGTAGTAGTAGTAGTAGTAGTAGTAGTAGTAGTAGTAGTAGTAGTAGTAGTAGTAGTAGTAGTAGTAGTAGTAGTAGTAGTAGTAGTAGTAGTAGTAGTAGTAGTAGTAGTAGTAGTAGTAGTAGTAGTAGTAGTAGTAGTAGTAGTAGTAGTAGTAGTAGTAGTAGTAGTAGTAGTAGTAGTAGTAGTAGTAGTAGTAGTAGTAGTAGTAGTAGTAGTAGTAGTAGTAGTAGTAGTAGTAGTAGTAGTAGTAGTAGTAGTAGTAGTAGTAGTAGTAGTAGTAGTAGTAGTAGTAGTAGTAGTAGTAGTAGTAGTAGTAGTGGCAGTAGTAGTAGTAGTAGGCAGTAGTAGTAGTAGCATAGTAGTAGTAGTAGTAGTAGTAGTAGTAGCAGTAGTAGTAGTAGTAGTAGTAGTAGTAGTAGTAGTAGTAGTAGTAGTAGTAGTAGTAGTAGTAAGTAGTAGTAGTAGTAGTAGTAGTAGTAGTAGTAGTAGTAGTAGTAGTAGTAGTAGTAGTAGTAGTAGTAGTAGTAGTAGTAGTAGTAGTAGTAGTAGTAGTAGTAGTAGTAGTAGTAGTAGTAGGTAGTAGTAGTAGTAGTAGTAGTAGTAGTAGTAGTAGTAGTAGTAGCAGTAGTAGTAGTAGTAGTAGTAGTAGTAGTAGTAGTAGTAGTAGTAGTAGTAGTAGTAGTAGTAGTAGTAGTAGTAGTAGTAGTAGTAGTAGTAGTAGTAGTAGTAGTAGTAGTAGTAGTAGTAGTAGTAGTAGTAGTAGTAGTAGTAGTAGTAGTAGTAGTAGTAGTAGTAGTTGATTTGGGTTGAAATTGAGCACTTCCTGTGTTACCACATGACATCACAAGGTGGAACAGAGTATTTTAAGCGTTAGAGAAGAACTCAGTGTAAATCTGCAGTGTTTGTGTGTTAAACTTGTGTGAATTAAACAAAAAAACTCAACTCCAGGTCTGTTTGTGATGAGGAAACAGTGTAATTTTGTCCCTTTGAGAATTTTCACACCTGAATTTCTTAATAAACCATTTGCTTAGATTGTGAATTAAGTCTTTGTTGATGCTTTATTCAGGTTAAATCAGGTTCGGTTATTATAAAGTGTTTTCCAATTAGTGAAAGATGAAGCACCAGAGAATCCTGCAGTTTTTCGTCTCTAAAGTGGAGCTGCTGTTATTTCCAGTTCAAACACACTGAGCAACATCTGAGTCTTCGGGCTGCGCTGGTTTAATGAGCGGGTCCCACAACGGAAAATAAAAAAAAAAAACGGATAAAAGAAGATACCGCGTCTGACCTGTAGGGGGTGTGAAGGGTAGTGCAGCCAGACTTCCCGCAGGTC